CAAAAAACACTAGAAGACAAATTCAGGACAGATAATGGAAATGTGGAGCTCTTATTTATTTGATTTTCTAATTATATGACTCATAAGGTAAAGGTATTAAAACAATAGATATGTGGATTCCGTAGGAAAAATTCAAAACTGAACTTGTACATTTCTGGGTATTTGTGTACTGTGAATTTGAATTTCAACAAGTTACAAAACCATGTATTAGTTGTATTTATGAGTAAAATTGAAACATGTGGCAGTTAAAATATATGTGTTAATATGAATATGAAAAATAATGTAACTAATTTTTGAATGATATCATAAGTTAAATGGCCATTAATAATAGTAAATAATGACTACTATGGCAACAGGCAAGTACTAAATGCCTTTCATGCCTCACCTTAGTTAATCCTCTGACATGTGCTATGAGAATGGTACTATTAATATTCCTATTTCACAGATGAGGAAATTGTTCAAAGTCATCTATGCTGTAAATATTGCATCCAGAATTTAAACCCAGTTTTTACTCCAAGGCCTTTGCTCTTGAGCACTAGGCTATACTATTACTAAGAAGCCATTAATTAACAGTTGGTTGCACAGTAAAATAAGTCTTCCTGACCCTGAGATAGTATTTATTTAAGCAGTGACAGATAGAACGATAACCAGATTAATGAATGAAACAGAACTTCAAAGCCTTACTAATATAAAACCCCTAAGTTATTAGCTGTTCTTCCTTGCAGGAGGCAGCTAATAATAGAAAATGGAGAAGGGATGGCACCCCCTTAGTTGTGTTTATACAATCAAAATAAATCAAAATAAAATTTTTTTCTGAAAAAATTCAACTCTGCTTGTACAGAATAAGAAATCATACCAAAACATGGTTTGTTTGTTTTTATTAAAGACTAGATATTGGGAAGTATGTGCATTAAACAGTGTTGAAGGGTCTACTCAGACAACTAGATCAGCCAAATACCATAAAAGTACCTGATAAGTTATCAGTGTGGTTAAAATATCAAAGCATTATCAAAGAGTTTTTCTCACGTTTATTTTTCCACCTTAAAGTCGACTAAACCTTTAGTCCTTAACTTTAATGCATCCAGATAAACTATTTCATTTAATAAATGTCAATTTTGAAAAATAAATTTGAGCATGGTAGATATTAAGTTCATGTTAAATACAGTTTGAATGACTCAGGTTATCACCAAAATCATCTATGTTGTAATTATAAGACAATTTTTAATAATTTACTCGTGTGAACTTTGTAACTTTTTATGCACACAAAAGGAAATGCCATTTTAAGATACTTATTAAATATAAATTTCAAAAAAAAATTACTCTGCAATTAAGCAAATATATTACCTATGGAAGAAGAGACAAAGAGAACATATTAAAAAAATAAATCTGCACCTCTAATCCCTGTGCCATAAAATCTGTAAAGCATGAGTCCTGGAAGTCTACTGACTCTTCCAGAAGCGTAAACTGTAAAGTGACAAAGACCACTGATGTGGAATTTTGGCGAGCAGCTGCATTCTGCAATTTAAATATACTTAGTGGAGTGAAAGATGATTGATGGTTGTTTTTCTTCTTCCATGGATGTGACAATTTTGATGGTGATAATCCACTTAGTTCTGAAGATGTTTCTAAATGTCCTTAGGCCAGGCAACCTGGAGGAGCACTCAGAACCTAGGTTTTTGCCACAATATTTTCTTTGAGTCATTTTATATTAGGGGAAGATCAGATTAAATCAAAGAGAAAGTCTAGCTGTTTTTAAAGTTTTCAAAATACAACTTAGCATTATACATAAAATGTTTCTGTTCACAATATAAAAGTGCATTGTGTAGGCATAAACTATATATGACTTTGGCCTATGTGTGCTTTTGTCTTTTGTTCTGTTTATCTATCTAAACTCAACAACTTTGGAATTAATCCATTATATTCCCATGTGGCATTTTTAAAAAAAATCTGTGGGCAAAGGAAGCTATTGACATTCTTCTCAAGTCTTTGTATTAATGTATTTTACGGAACTTGCCAGTCTCAAGTGAATTATGAAGTACTTATTGAGTGAGTGGGAGAGAATGTCATGTCTCATAGCAGCTTCACTATTCTATTTATATCTCTAGAGGTTTCATTTATAATTCAGGAAATTCACTTATCTACTGTAAGAATATAAAGTAACAGCTCTTCCCTCTAAGGTCTCACCATTTTCATAGTCTCTTGACTTTGCAAGTTGAATGTGTGTGTTGGGAGTCTGGGGAATTTAGGGTGGAAGGAAAGAAAGGACGATGAGGAAGGGTGCGGGCAGAATTTACACTTCCCTAAGAAAGATCTGTAAGTAACTGAGCTATATTGGAACAAACAAGACACACCAGAAGACATAGAAAGTATTAGATATGTGACGCTTGTATTTAGTTTGACTTTCTAGGTATATAATTCATAAGGTAAAGTTGTTAAAACTGTAAACTTATTTGTTAAAGTATTTGTTTATTCATTTAAGCATTTAAGCAAAAGAGTAGTAAGAGAGCTTAAAACTATTTGATGTTGGTGGAGAGTTAATTTTGAGTGTACAACATTCAAGTGTAAACAGTAAGGTCATGGAGTTGGGTGTTCCTGCTAAGTCACATCCACTAGGCACCTTGTCTGGGCTATGCAATAATAAATGGGCTCTTGTCGTATTAATATAAGAGCACTGAACAGGCTGTCAGACTGGTGTCAAAGCCTAGGTTGTCAACCAGTAGTGTGACCTGGCAGACAGTTCAGCCACTTTACATGTCAATTTTTTTTTTAAATGACCAGATTAACCTGTACATTGCTTGACTTCCTCTTTGGTTCTCAAATGTTTGATGCCAATGTAGCATAGTCAGCTTTTGCTATGTTTTTCTTCTTTTTAGAAATATGTCATAAAGGTATTAACTTTAATCAGTTTCACATGGAGTCACATACCAATTGTCATTTACTGTTTTCTTTCTCAGAATTATCATTGACAGCTAAAAAGCCTCACTAGAGATTAAACTTTTAAAAATTTTGTCAAGAAGACAATTCTCTCTAGATTTCTTAATTCTCCCGAGGTTTTTTTGTTTTTTTTTTTTTTAAATTAGAATTCTCCAGACTACTTCAGCCCATGGATTTTTACATTCCCGTGCCAAATCTGAGGAGCTAATGGGCCCCATCACAAAGTTTCCTATTATTGTCTCATTTTGAGTGAGTTTCCCCCTATCAGCAGGCATTAGATCTGATAAAGCATTTTCTTTGGTTAAATTCCATACTTCTTGAATCATGAAGTTAGCCTTTATATTCTTTAAATATCACTTTTGTGCTGTATATTAACGTGTATACTGTCCTTCATATTCAGAGAGGATGTATCTGACAGTGATGATTTCCATGACTGTGTAAGCTGAAATCTAAACAAAGATGAAGGGACTGTGCTGCTATCAGTCATAAATATGTGCAGTTCACCCCTCCTATTTGGAAAACTTATTAGTGTTTTTACTTATTGCTTCCCCTTTTCTCAAAATAAGCCACCGTTTCTTTTATTCTGTTTCCCAAGATAGAGTTAAACTACTATTGATTTGCAGAAGATGCTGGATTCCAAGCTACTTAAGAAGGAACATTTCTTATCTCTCTTTTTTTTTTCTATTTACAGTGTACATTTTAATAGGCACTAGACCCTTAAATCTTTTCAATTGAATTCCACATTATTTAGCATGCACTCTTATTCGTTGATCTAATAAAAATTTCCCATCTTTGAGAAGTTGGTCAATCATTTATTGGTAAAATAAATTTTTTTTATTATTAAGGAATAAACATTTTCAGCCCTGCTAACACACACACACACACACACACACACACACAC